AGAGAAGAGAGGAGAGGAGGGGAGGGGAGAGGAGAGGAGAGGAGAGGAGAGGAGAGGAGAGGAGAAGAGAAGAGAAGAGAAGAGAAGAGAAGAGAAGAGAAGAGAAGAGAAGAGAAGAGAAGAGAAGAGAAGAGAAGAGAAGAGGAAAAGTAGTTCACAGCTATGGTTTCTTGAAAACCAGAACATTCCTTGTTATAGAGTGAGGGCCCCATCACAGAAGCTAGTCAAGCATAGGCTAGCTACGCACTGGCAGGAATGTTCTGAAAAAGATTCAAACACTGGAAAAGAACTTGTAATGAATGTCCTTTCAGAGCTAAAGTTCTATGATGCTTGCTCACCAGTTACAGGTGTGGCCACTTAAAGAGAAAAAAACAAACCGTGGTCCAAATATCTTAAATCTACAAAGCAGACACTCGCTTTGCAAAAAGGGTTCGTTTCAATAAAGAACTAACGTATATTTTAAATGTTTGTTTCCAAGCCATTAACTATCTAACCAAAAATAAAGGGGAGGGAAGAATGAGGGACTTCAAGGTGACGCTGAAGGACCCAGTGCCAAATGAGGCCCCATCATAAATGAAGAGCTTGTGTCAGAAAAAAGGAAGCCAGAGATTCAATTTCCCCACACATTCCTCAAAGGCCTCTATTTTTTAATGATATGTTAATAAAACAGATGAATATCATAAAAATCATGGAGTTTGGGGTTTATGTGAAATCACAAGACTTCGTCCTCTCAATCCCCCAGCTAATATCAGCCAATAGATTCAACTTTCAGACACTTTCGAAGAAAGACAGCAAGCCTGGGCTGAAGGTTATCTTAGAACAGATTCCAAGAAAAAACAAACTCCGTGGAGTGGGTCCTAATCCGGATGATCATCTATTCCCCTTTCAGCGTAAGAATGGATTTTAACGAGTTTTGTTTTATAAACATTCCCGTGGCTCAACACATCTGTGAGGAGACACAACGCTACCCCATGGCTCTCATCCTGTTTGCTAATTATATCAACAACCTGAACCAACTTAACACTATGCAAAAACACAGCTGATTTAGCAATCTGTAAATTATACATGTACATAAATCTGGACCCAAATGTGCTGCGCCTCACTCCTGCTAATGTGCATGGATTCTTACTGGCACCTACAACTGTTTGATACAGGTTTCCGAGTACTAAAACATATGCTCTCCTCAAATGGGACCACTTAGGGTAATATTTTTGTAGTTTCCTGGCACTGAGGTCTGCCAGCCTTCCTAAGCCAGATCTCCTATTTGCTTCAGCAAGCATTCAGAAAAGTAAGTGCCTGAAGATTTAAGCAACAATCAAAAAATATACTGGACTTTGCAATATGAATCTGACGAGAAGCAGGCTAGCTCTGTGTCAACAAAGTCAACATAAAGATTTGCAACGATGGGCAATATGACCCTACACAAAATCAAATCAAATCTGGCCTGTTCCTGCTGATTACTTACAACTACTCAATTAAGAAATAATTATCAAATCTCTTCAAATGGTATTCCAGATGTATCCAAGAAGGTTAAACTGGATTTTAGTCCCATCAAGACCAGTAAACACCTTTAAAATGTGGATTTTTTTAAAATCCAAGTCAAGCCAGGAAACGTTGTGGAACAGGGGTAAGATCCTTGGACCAAGACTCACTAGAATGTAACTTACCCAGTTACATTCTCTCTACATCCCCAGTGTTCCATAAGTATCTCAATAAATCTTTGTGGAATGAATGAGCCAGTCACAACTGCTGAATAGTCCCTGAGCTGCCTTTTACTGCCATTTCTAATGCTCCCTCTTCCTAACTAAGCATAAGTAAATTATTTAACCTGAGGATTCTTAGTTCCTGAAACTCTGAAATGGAAACACTGCACCTCCTTTGCTGTCTTATGAGGATCAAAGGTGATATTTTATGAAAAGTGACTTAATATTTTAGAACGGGCACATGAATGTTATCCTGCCAAACCATTGGCAAAGGTAAAACTACCGCCCTCCCTTGAAACAGAATTAGCTTCTCCTTTGCCCTGTTATTCTGTTTGGATGTGGTAGCGTGGCCGTTAGCCAAAATGGATGTTGTTCTTGTTGTTATAACATTTTATTTCATCTCCACTGGGAAATTACGCTTCTCTAGAGAAAACAATGGTAATACAAGGAAGGTCATCGCATGGTGTACCCTAAGGAGCGTGACACAGGGGTCAAGAGGCTGAGGGCCTCATCAGTTCTGCCCTTAATTATTTGAGGAAAAGCTGTGCTTCAGTTTTTTTCATCTATACAATGATGGGGAAGGAGGACAGACTCCATCTAAGGTCTGTCTTACCCTACAGTTCTAAGATATTCCAGACACCAGATATTCAAATGCCCCAAAACAAAGTCAGTTCTGTTATCCATTAGCATATAATGAGAACAGTGTTTTTGAGGATGATGAAAACAGTTCCACAGCCGAAGTCATAATGTCTGAGCAACAATGATGCTACCACAAAAGATGAATGCTATCCTCAAAGAACACCCACCTCAGGCACTATGTGCCTGCCACCTTGAATGTCACTCAATATTCATGGGACTCAGTTTTCTGGTCTTTAAAAGAGAAACAAAAATGCTGCATAAAACCACTGGGAGAAAATACCTTAAAAAAAGTGATCAAAAAGTAGTGCTATTTAAAGGTAAAATGCTATTTAAAAGACTGTAATGCCCAAAACAAGGCCGGTGGATTTTAGAAGACAATCAATATTTATAAATAGACCTTTTCCATCACAATAAAATAATACAATGCATGTAGATATTGTGATATTTCCAAGAGTCCACTTTTTTTTTCTATTTGTGTTTAGGAGATATTATGAAAGAGATCACTACAAATTTAAATTCCACGTTTCAAGATCAGAATCTTTTTCTCTGAAATAATACATAATATTGAAAGTTCATCCACCTCTCCCAACATGTTTCTGTTTTTGCTGTTGATGTTGGTTGGTTGGTTAATTGAAGTCAAGCTTTTGGAAGTGGTGCTGAAATTAAAGTGCCAGTACTAATAATACTCCCAGCTAGTTATTCTATTGAGGTTCTACATATGCCTACAGAGGGGAAGGGTTAGTCTAAGATCCACTAAACTAGAAGATATTCTACCTTCTCCGCTTCAGGGTTGTTTTCAATTGTGGTATCAGCTTCAGGATTCTTTTTTGAAATTTTTATTTTATTGTGGTATTAGCTCCAGGATTCTTAAGTTCCTCCTACCAAGCCCAAGGAACCTTGTGACTATTACATGCATGACTCCTTACTGCTCTGTCCATTCAAAAACATAACATGGTATACATTAGATACAGGGTTTCCCCTCTCACTTAAAGGATTCTGCCTCTTCACAAAATAATAATAATAAATAAAATGAAATTGTCATTGATACTTATGAGAAAGCTGATGTCTCTGGCAAGGGGGTCCCCAAATCTGCAAGACTGCCTCCATACCCCCTTACAGGCCAATAACCATAGCAGTCACAGTACGTTAAACTCTTAAATAGTGATTTTATGTTAAAACCTATGAACACCTCCAGCATTTTTATGGCAGAAGAGCTCATTGTGGCTTTTCGTGTAGTAATTGGAACCCCCTTGCATCCCAGGTAATGGCTGTGACCTTGCTCTAAAAGCCACCTTAGTTAGTTTGCATCAGGAAGACCTTAAAAGAAAAGGGGACTGACCAGAAACTCTTCAATAATCTTCTTTGTAAGCCGCACATAATAAATGGCCATTCATTCCTAAGAAGTACTAAACACATGATGATTTGCTACCCTCGTTACGTTTTTTATTATAAGATAAACTTAAATCACTTTGGAATTAAAGAGTCTTTCTTAGTAGCATAAGTCACTTTTCATGCCCTTCCCCCAAATCCCTAACTAAATCCAAAGAGAAGCCCATCGCTTTAACACAAGCTCCTTAAGGCTCTGAAGCCAAGATATTTGCACGTTTTTAAAAGCCATTTCCTGAGTGAGCCCTTCGGATCCTCCTGATGAACGTCATGTCTCTGAGAGGAGAAGGTCCAGCAGCCTGTGAAGGGCTTCTTATCTGGGGCTGCTCGCCTCTCCTTTGCACCTTCCAGCTGCCCTGCTCCTATTTGCTCTGCAAGCCTTTTAGCCAGGGGGGCTCCGCTGCCCTGAGTCCTGAGGGCATTTGAAATGCTTCCTTTCCAGCCCCAGCTCCGGGACTCTCACCCCCCACCCTCCAGGCTACTGTCCCTCTAAATGCCCCGGGAGGGAGAGGGGCGGGGAGCATCGGTTTACTGGGTAATGGCGATCTACAGGCTTGGGGAGTTTGGGAATTTGTAGGTGAGCAAGATGTCTGGGCATAAAACACTGCTGTGTTTGGAGGAGAGGATCTAAGACAGACTCGTACCTGTGACCACTTAGCCAGCTCAGCACCTGTGCCCGCCACTTCCCGCCCGAGTCCAGGAAATTCTGCCCCTCCTGGCCTTCGCTTCACCTACAAGGGGTGGGTGGCTCGGTGAAGAGGTGGAATCAGGCAGCCTGCTGCATGCACATCCCTAAGTCCCCGCGCCCCCAACACCTCGGACTTTTCTGCCTGTCGGGATGGAAGGTGGACGCGGCCGGAGCTGCCCAACCCCACAGCTGGCTTCCCCGGTGGGGAGGCGGCGCCGCGGGGAGCAGCAGCCGGCGCCCCGAGAGCCTTCGCGGAGGGTGGGCTGTACTCCTGGGGCGTCCAGCTTCCCATCACTTTTCCCCGTACTTTGCTCACCAGCTGCCACGCTCCCTGGAGAGGACCAAGAAGGCGGGAGAAAGGCCCACAAGGCACCCCCGGGACACCTCTCCTCCTGGGATGGGGACCCATCAGACGCCGCCCCGCCTGCCCACCTCTCCCTGCCTCCGGGCTGCCCGGCGCCCGTGCCGCGGCTCCCAGCGCAGCTCCGGGCTCTGCTGCATCCAGGGCGCCGAGCAGCGGGAGGCGGCTGCAATAAAGGCGCGGGTGAGAAGCCGGGTCCCTGGACCCCGAATGCACCTCTTACCATTGGACCGCCGGACGATGTTCTCCAGAAACGTGTTCTGCGGGGCCACCAGTCCCCTCCTGCCCCCGGCCATGGTCATCCTCCCGGCGGCTCGGGGTCTCGGGGCTTCCCGGAGCGGCTGCTCACGGCAGCAGGAAGCGGGGCCCGGGGCCCGCGTGCGCTCCCGGCTCGAAGCGCCCCATGCGACCCGCGCAGGGATCCGGGCGGGCAGGGGCGGCGGCTCCCTC